ATAATCTGATATATTTTACAAAAGTTTCAATACGAAAGCATATTGCGCTTAAAAATTTGTGATTGATCTCAATGTACGCGCGCGCGCGCACGTTTTTAACTTACTAGATAAACCTTAACTTCTAATTTGATTTATATTGTGTTCATACAACCATTTTGTGAGAGTTACATGATAATAAATTAAACTTTGAACGCATGCATATATTATCAAATATTTATTTAGGAAAACATTTTAATTGTCTGCTAAAATAATTGTGATTCGCAGTACAAACATTTTAACAAGGCCGGCTCTCGAACAATGTTATACAAATATTTGTGTAAAAATAAAGATACGTTGAACATATAATAACAATAATTATAAGAAAAAAAATCATAAGCGATAAAATGTAGTATATAATAATACTTTCGGAGAGATAGAAAAAACAAATTTATATCTTGATCTCTGTACGCGAATAATAATTTTTTGTCTCGCATGTGTAAACACATATACATATATATATCATGCACATAGTACGCTAAAAAAAATTGCTAAATTGTAATACATATTTCTTTGATTAGTACTAAGTAAACATTTAATTACAGTAAATAAATATTTACTTAATAACAAAAAATAATAATTAAATCACAATTTAACGGTTTATCAAATAAATATATGTTTATATTTATTTAATAAATATATGTATATATACATATTGTATGTACATATATATATATATATATATATATATGCACATGTACTAAAACAACTATTATAATATATAAAATATAAATATATATAATATTTGTATATCTCTCTTTCTCTTGCTATTTTCACAGCTAGCTGCCTACGTAGGATTGGACGGATGCAATGCGGATGCAATATGATTTCACTTTCCTCTCGCAAAGAGGAAAATAAAATTATCACTAAAACTAATAAATTAAAAGAAAATATATAAATATAAAAAGAAGAAAAAAAAGAGGAAAACATATCACGCATCTTGTAACTTTCAATCATGGCAATACGTTATGCCAAATAGTTATAATTAAAATTAACGATTAAGTTTATGTAGAATAAAAATTAAATTCTTTAAAATATGAACAAACTTTTTTTGCAGCGTTAATTTGATTTAATTAATTACCTGAATAAACTTTCACCTATTTTAAAATTTAATTTTGTAACACATAAAATGCTATAATCTTATATTATAATTAACTTTAATCAATACAGAAAATAATACAATCAACCCTTAATTACAAATCAACTCTTCAATTAAAATAATTTTTTGTTAAACTAAAGTGTATTGTATTATTTACAAAAAATATAATAAATAAATATATCAAATAATACACTTTTCAAATAAACTCACTATACAACAGTTTCTACGTAATGGGTGTGTAATATATCATGAATATTTCTTTAATAAACGTTTAGCAAAACATTATATAATAAATGAACATTAATACTAAATATTATAAAGTATTTAAATGGACGGAAAATTGTTAATAATGATATTATTAACACAGATAACTAACAATAATAATATGTAATTGTCTCATTAATACTTGTATACTGGATAAAAAAATCCTCGAGTTAATTATTATATTAAATTCGGTAACGATTTATTTCCGTGTACGTCTTACTGTATGTAAAAGTTTATATACATTTTTAAATAATTTTTTGCTCTGTCTTTTAAACGTTCAAAAGTATGAAATATTTTAATAATAAAATTATTGCTATGAATAACTAAATTTCAATTAGATATGTGATCACATTAAGAAGTAATTGTAATAAGTAGGAGAGACCGGGATTTTTGTTGGCACGGTTTTCACAATTTCGGCATTAGATTTTTTAAATAATTATTACGACTGAAATATACTATAAAACGAAGAAAATTGAAAACGGCCAAATAGGAGTCAGCGCGGTAAGACGTGCATATTTATTCTATTAATTTGCGCACGTCTTACCGCGCACGTTTTATAGAAATATAAGGAGTCCATTATTAATTATATTAAAATATACTAATAATACGATAAAGAGAACCTTTCTCTACATTTTCATATCAATAATGAATCTATACGCTATATAGTTTCTTTGCAATAAATTAAATACAAAGATGCTGCATTGTAGTCAACTCGTCCCGATATGTGAGATAAATTGATACATATCACAGTTTAAGTTGCCTTTAAGGTAAACTCCATATCAAATTTTAAAAAACGTTTTATTTTCAAATAAAAAAAAATAATAGAAATGAAAATCAGGTAGTAGATATGTATAATACTTTTTACAATTAGTAAAAATTGCATCTTTCAAAGTTATTTTGCAATGATAGCAAATAGCATATAGCATTATTGCAGAAACAAATGTAAATATTTTCTCTTTTCCATAATTTCTTTAAACATATGAACGAAACACAATGTCAATTTGTCTCTTATGTCGGCTCCCGGTCTCTCCTATTTTGATTTTATGTGTGTAACAAAAAATTCAAATCATACTATAAAAGTTTCAACTTGTATAATTTATGTATATTTGCCTAATTAAATTTTGACATTGAAAATTGCTTAGTTAAATGATGATAATAAAGATTATTTATTGCAGTTCGAATACAGTTACGTGATCAAATAATTCTGCAATAATGTAACTATTGTACATTAATCATGTTTCATCACAAGTAGTATGTTTCCAAAAGAATTTGTAAAGACTCCCAAGAGATATGTGAATAAAATATCTTAATATAAAAGAATAAAAGGGAGAATATAGAGATTAGATTTATGATTAAACTTTAAACAAATGGATGACGAATTTTTATATCATCCGCTTTCGCATAAACTTTCAACAACAATAAAAGTAATAATTCTATGATATCATTATCAACGATTTTTTGCTCATTACCAGTTCTATCTTTTGGCATGTACTTAATAAAGCAAGAGCGTAAGATGTGTGTGTGTTAATATAGAGCATTAAGATAAAATACAGTCTTTATTTCACAAATACATATCTCTTAAAAGAAATATATATATGTATATATATGAACATAATTTTTTAAAACTAATATATATATCTGTTAAGGGGATTTTAAAGTAACGCCCCCTCGAGCTCTGACAGGGTCGCTGTTTTACCGATAAAATGCGACACATCACATATCTTTATATACTCATACTATTATACATCAATATTACGCACCATATAATTTTCATAAAACAGTAAAAAACGTTTTAATTAGACGTCTAATTCTAAGAACTCCACGTTGTTTGTTCACATAAACTATTAGTTTGTATAGTACTGTAATTACGAAATTCTGGATCACAGTAAGTACAGATTGCAAAGTTTTTATATTAATCAAATGTAGTTATGATATTGACAGCTCTGAATCATATTAGATTAAAAAAATAGTAAAAATCTCAATTTAAATAATTGTTTTCGTTCTCAGCATAAACTTTATCTCACAGACATGTACTAACGCATATAATTTAATCTTCGAAAAAAATTTACAAATCTGTGAAAGAGAAAAATAATTGTTCTACAAAAATTTTTACGTTCAATCAGTAAAACAGACTTTAGAATTCCCTTAACAGATATTATTATATTGCAATAAAAAAGATGCAATTTTAAATAAAAATATATACTATCATTTACATATCAACAACAAATTGAAATTTTTTTCTTTTTTTCTTTTGTCAAAATTCATACTTTATCTTTATAGTAATATAGTTTACTTAAAAAATTAATTGTATGCATTAGAGTTGATTTTTGCTTATACTGTGATTTGTAATAATGTAGGTAATTTCAATAATTTATTAATATCGTTTGAATTAATATCAATTTTATTAATTTAAGTATTCACAAACTATTTTTAAGATCATATTCTTAATATGCGAATTTTATTGGTCAATACTCCATGAGATTTATAAAAATACGTGCATGACATTAGGTCAAAATTTTCATCACTTATGCATACACACATACATACACGACACACACATACAAATGTACACACACGTGTAATTTTATATTATATTGTGCTTTCTTAATCTTCTTTAATTTTAGATGCTGCATCATCATGATTTATTATATTGTAATTTTCCTCATTTTTTTCTGTATACGTGATATGTTTCGTTATTTTAATCCATCCTGTTCTTCCACCAATAATTTTTATATTTCATTTTCACTTGTATTCTATTATATTAATTCACTTATAAATGTATATGTCGTGTAAAGATATTGTAGAAAAATTGGAAAAGACCTAATATATTCAACAAGTCACTATTAATACGTCAAGCGCCGTACCTATTTCGTTTAACTTTCCGTTTACGCCACACAATATATCGTCAATTGGAAATATATGCGCTATGCGCGAGCTAAAGTAAATAAAAGAACAAGAAGCGAATCGGTGCCGGGACGTCTAACGAATCGTCAGTCACACAAAAGACAGTACAATTTTGTTTTCTATATATAAAGCAGATCTATCAAATACTTTTAAAAGTATTGGAACACACACTGCTGCACCGTCATGGCGTAAACGGGAAGTTCGGTGCCGGTTCGTAGAGACCGGCATGGCGTTAACATGTTATCCACGCGTTTGATCTGAATTTCTTTGATATTTAACTCAGGTAGCTTTGAAGAGTTTCGACGATTATCGATTGTAACATAAACTTATTTACATTTTGTTGTAACAATACGCCAAACTCGCGAACGTCTCGATTCGCATCTTTGGAACTTATTAAAAGTCCCATTATCGAAATCATGAATGACGTCACTGACAGAGAACTTTTAACATTCGACTATGATGGAATAGTAAAAATCGTTCGACACCAAAACATTCGTCCCTGATTGCCAAATCAATCATAAATAGTGATAACGGAAACCACCTACCGTTAATAGAACATGCACGTGGAACTACTTCGGGCAGACGTCTTGTCATCGCCATTCAATTTCCTGTCGCAACACCCTTGCACGGATGATGGTGCTGCAATCACGTAGCAAACGCACATGCTGACAACGCGCACGTGTCAGGAGAGCGTCAATTAAACTTCCGTCGAATGCGTCTGTATACGCACTTTCTTTTGCGAACCGTTCCTCGACAAGGTCGGGCTGTGCGTTGAAAAGCCAGGATTATGAATGCCAAGGGGTTTTGGCTTTTTCAGAGAACTCCTAAGGGGAGAGGCTGTGCTAGTCACACTACTAGAAGTCGCTACCGATGCCGTCGATCCGTTTCCGGCCCCACCGACGTACGGCTTGCCGCTGGCGTCTGTCATCGAGATCGTGCCACCTGCGACGTAATAAGATTAATAACGCGATTACATTTTGCTCTATTCTTGATGCTGCTTCAGTAAAAGAACTTTTCTCTCTTTTATATTAGAAATGTTATGAATGTAATCGAACTATTATCACAGATACACAGGAGAAAAATGTTTGATTCAATTAACTAGAATTTTGATTAAATCTGTTAGATTTTTTGTTAAATCGTCTAGAATTCTAGTTAAAATAATAAGCATACAGAATTTTCTTAAATCTATTAAAATTAATCAGAAACCAATAAACTCAGCCAGAATTTAGGATTGTTTATTTTCCACCAGAGAATTCCAGTTAATTCAACCAAATATTTTTTTTGTGTACGTGTATTATACTCATACAGCATAAGTCTATACACATAACGTTTTAAAGAAGATGAAAGATATCCTAAGGATGTTCTCAGAATGTCCTTTGCTGCTGTATGGGTATAGATATCTAATATATACAGAGAGAGAAACAGAGAAAAAGAGAGAGAGATTTGTATTAGGTTCGAACTATAATATGCAAAAGAACGCATAAAAGCTTGCGATCTGTGATATGCATTCTCAAAGTCAAAAGTTTTAAAACATTTTTTAAAAATTGACATTTTTAAGATATTATTTACTCAAATGTTTATAACAATGTGTTTTTAATAACAATTTTTAAGATCTCATATAACAGTTGAAATCTAAAATATTGTTTAAAAAAAAAAAAACATTGTCATGGATATATTTAAACAAGTAATCCCAAAAATATCAATTTTTAAAAAATGTTTTCAAACTTTTGGCCTGTGATGTAACAAACTTTAACATGTTGTCTAGTAAAAAGAATGTTACATCACAGCCCAGTAGACAGACATAAATGGATTGAAATGGATTAAAATGGATTCAGATTTTCAGGAATACGGATTCATGAATGTTAAAATGAATCCTTTTCAATCATGAATATATTTTTATACATTTATAGGAATTTTACGGAGCATATCTGTATGCCTTTCAATCTAAAACCCAGTCAGCACAGAACATCGGATCCATTGGACATCCAGATTTAGTTTCTCAAACAATTCAAATAGACATTTTAATTCATTCTCATTTGCTGCGAGATAATATTTCGATTACGTATTGTTATTATTATTATTATTCAAATTATGTATTATACGCTATATTATACGCAGTGTATGTGTTACCACATTAATAAACATTACGTGTGCCAGGACGACAAAAAAAGTCACTTCGCTTTATGATCTAACATATTACGACGCTAAGTCTATAAGTTACGGTAGATGGATTTGGTATTGGGGGTGACCTTTACGCGCAGCAATATAGCGAAAATACGCAGCGTAGCGTAATCGCTACATTACGATGAAATCATTCGGTATCACAAAAACGCTATGTAATGGCGAGTAAATACACAAAACGTATATATATGTTTGAATGTAAGATTCTTTAAAAGCGAAAAAAGAGTAGTTTACTATGGCGTGTACTACTACGAACATTTTTCTATACTCTTTTTCTTCTCTCGTATATTGTTCTCTTATCACATGTATGGATAGCAACTTCTAAAAACTTTATCACTTTCGCTTCCAGACGTGATACATAGTATGATCCTTTTTTTCTGAGAATTATGTTGGTTTTATGTTAACCGACTAAACCAAGTTCTTTCAGAAAAGTCGACCATCAAGCATCACCAAACATAACCTACGATATAAATTATCGTAGCTTCGTGACAAAACCGAGATTGGGTGTTTTAAGAAGATAAGATATGTAGAAATGGATTTTAACGAAGAAATATTATACATATATAATGAACAATCATAATGCAAGAAAAAAATTTTGTATGGTCTTTGAAAATTTAAAAAGACAATTTGCAAAAATGATGTTAAAAACTGAAAATATGTAATGCTTGAATTTAAACATTTATGCTCGTTTCTACCAACATAAATTAACTTTAATCTAAGTTCAACTCACTCTTTATTTTTTTCCAATTCTTAGAAAAAGATGAAAAATTGAATCGAGATATTAAAATTAAACTACAATGATAAAAACGGATATCAATAAATATTTTTTATATGTTTTCTATACATAATACGGCATGTTAAATTGTGATTTTATTTAACTTATCGCATCCAATGTTAAATAAAGCGCGCCTATAATAAATAGAAATATAATTTTCGCATTAAACTAAATTTAAAACGAGTATTAATCGTATCAACTATCTTATACTACCGGTTTATGGCGAATTAATTGTGATTTGTCATGATATCAAAAAGGATAACGTGCTTTATATAATACGATAGATTCATTCGATGTCGTATATCATACCTTATATTCAATAAGAAAATTTAGAGAGAGTTGAAACGTAGATTTTAGAAAATTGAACTGTCCGATTTGGGCTTACCGTTTGTGGGTTGATGATATTCCCGATATCCTGGATTATTTATAGTAGCTCCACGAGGATCCGTGACGACCCTAATCTTAGTCGGATCGCCACCTCTCCGGGCGTAAATGCCCTCGTAAACAGCAGAGACCAGTACGCCAAAGTTCAAGGCGATGGCAGCTAACTGCAATAATAAATAAAATCTACTAAAAATGTCTTGATCAAAATCCAATCGTGCGTAGCTACGTACATCGATTATAAAAATATCGATTGTATCTTCTCTTAGCATATTTCATAAATCTTCTTCCCTATTTCATACGTTTCTCAAAACAAGTAGTAAAATATCAAATGACAATTATTTGTAAGCAATAATTCAGAAATGTCTTATATGTATACCTATTTATAATAAATCAAGATTTGCGTAAAAATTAATACATGTATAAAAAAGCATACTATTCTATCTTATCCGTCTAACTATATGTATTTTACTCATTCTAACTTACTAAAGTTGACAAAAACGACAGGCCAATCAAAAGTTTATCATCTCGTGGCTAGACTGTTATAGTTTCCAGTATAATTATAACAAAATTGTTATGAAATTAATAATAATGAAATTAATTCACTAAGAAGTTTATTATACTACAGATTATTTATTTCTCAACAAAGATATTTATTCGCGCGTTCTCTGAAATAAGAAAATGCACCTATTCGGAAATGAAACATAAATAAAAGCACAAAAGCTCGAGCTGTGAACTTTACGTACACGATTATAAGAAAGCAATTGTTTTTCCGAGAATCGCGCATTTATTTTCCTTTGCACTAATTGGTTTGCAGTTGCTAATTACTTGACACATCGTCCGTTGCTCTAATCCGCTGTTCTAATTCGGCGCATCTCCATGCTACTTCTCAAAGTATCAATTCACATCAAGCTTCGTTGTGTACATGCCGCAATTCCATTGCCATCCCTACTATCTTGGAGGAAAACGATTACACATTATGCATCCCATCTTCATCATCCAAGTGCGCGAACAAACGTTTCTTTCTCTTTCTCAAACGTCGTTCCTCTTTACACGGCGTGCAAGTAACTAGGAGATCCTCATCGTATACTATCGATACGAGGAGAAGAAGCATCATCCGTAGGTGGTGATCGACTGGACGGATAGTGGGAAGGAGTGCGCGAGGAAGGGGAGACAATTTAATTAGGGCCAACAAAGAAGCCACGCGCGCCATTGTCGTTCCATCGCTATAATTAATCTGGTCGTCCGGTGCTTGCCTCCTTTCTTTTTGTCCTCCTTGGGGATGAACGTCGCGACGAGCTTCTCTCCCCTATACGCGAGAAACCTGATAAAAAAGAACGCAGGCGACCGCTATGCTCATCGTCGATGTTCTTCGCCACCCCCTTTTGATTATCAAGACGATGGTTATTTTCCCATCACGTTGGACAGGTTTCTTTCGCACTGATGTATGTACATACATATGAGTATCGCCAAATAAATCAAGGAAAAACAAGTCGCAGCAAGATAACGAAAATGTCAAAAACGTGATTGAATTAAGAATTTTTTTTTCTAAGAATAGAAAAATTGTTGATTTGAACAAAAATTTTACTTCATACAAACAAATATGCTATCACATGATGTCACGACAAATGATATTTTCGTTCACACTTTATGTAACATACATTAATTGTACAGACGAGGTGATTTTGTCGCGTCGTGATAAAACTGTCAGCAATATAACAACTGTTGTGTGCAATATTTAAATTGCTCATTTCAGTAATTTTTTTGCGTAACATTTACAGCAAACATTTATTTCGATGCAACTTGATTTATTTTAAAGGAGATAACCTAGGATTATTATTCTTCTTTCTCGATCATAAACTTCTTTATATAGAACTGATTTTCCTCGATAAAATTAGCAAGTTATAAATTTAAATTTAATAAAAGATATGACAAAAGTTTTTTATTATTTTTTCATTACACTTTATATACAACATTACTAATATCATAGGAAAGTAAAAGCAAAGACATTAACTCGATTGAATTTCCTTGAGTAATGGTATTACCTTGCCTTGTTTGTGCTTATTCATTCTGTCCAATTCAATTTCGTCCTTGGCCCCTTTTAAGAGACTTCGTTTTCTCTTGTCCATCATTGCATATTTTTGACGATAAGATATCAAAATACCATCATATCTAGCATAATGATAAAACAATATCGGTACTGAAAGGGAATTTATTGCGAGCGAAATATACAATGACCAATCAGTCAAATAAAAGTTTCGTCTTTTTTAAATATATATTTAATTTTTTAATATATACTTATTAAAAAATATGACTAATAGTTTTGGATGGTAAAAAGTACTGTTCACGTTCGAGTCTGTATGCCACGATAAAAGGCTGAACATGACCAGCTGAGAAACGAAAAAATTCACTTATCGCAAAACTGAGAACGAGGACAACACGGCGAGTTCATTAACGAGCCACACCGAAACACTCACTGCAGGTCCGCCAATGTCGGCTCATTGTTTTAAAAGTATCTACGAGTCGTGGCTGCTCCGACACGTACTAAGTTACGATCAGTGGGGAGAGAGGGGCTTAAAGAAACACCTGAGTCCAGTTCACGATCAGGTGACTTCTAAGCTTAAGTTTAATTCTCCGCTAGATATTAACGTTTCTGCGTTAATTGACGCTTTACTTGCACGCCAACGGAAGTGGATAATATTACTTGATAAAGTTATCTCAGTATGTTCATCCCTTTATCTCTTTTAATTTTTTATATCAATTTTTTATATCAATTTTGCATCTTCAAGTACGGTAGACAGGAGTAGGTTTAAAATAATCTATGTTAGCATATTCATATAGTATATTATAATTAGATTACATTTCCACGTAATAAAGAAAAATTTATGGAATCTTGGTATAATCTTGCTAAATCATAATATTCTTATGAAATATATTCCACCACATGGATATAATATTATTTGGAGAACATTATATTGTACGTAATCTCTATGCTCATAGTTTTTTTTACAAAGTATATATATTTTCACGTATAGATATATTTTCTTTATAATTATACTTCTTACTCTTAGAAAAAATTTGAACATCTTCAACAACTATATACAAATATATTTCCTATTGCATAATTAAATAAATTTTATTTATTAATATTGTCATTTTTTACATGCATTTTAATCAAATTAAACTCAAAAGAAAAAGAAGGTAAGATCCATTCATTTTAAAAGTGCACATTGATAGATTCACATACATATTAATGACTTATAAGTGCACATTGATGTAGAATTCTTGGATAAAAATTCCTTTTCGCTATTCAGATAGAATCATTCGGTGAAGAATTGTAATAACAAGTTGAATATTTCCTTGACGGAATCTAAAACTTTCCTATACTGCAAGTACTAAATTGCAAAGACCGCGAATGTTTCATCTGCGTTGGGAGAAACCCAAGCTGCCGTTTTGCGATAAGAACAAACTTTTGAGGTGCGTTGGCGACGTTATCGTTCAGTTTTATAAAACATGACGTTCTTCCATATGCTATCATTGTTCCTGCCACATTGTACTCTGTGGTCGATATCCAATTTAAATTACTATTCATTGCCAATACAAATGCAATTTATGTTTTGATTAGTCTGTATGTCCTTATTAATGTAGGTTTAATAGAGCTACATTAAGTTTAATAGGAGAGATATTTCTGTTTAATTAATAGTCTCTATAATTTTAATAACGTTTCTAATAATAATCTAATAGCATTTATTAATGATATTTAATCAAAAAGATTGTTCTTTGTTTTTTTTTATTAATATAAAAATCTAGAGTTCTTAAAAAAATATATATATTCCTAAAAAATATATATATATGTATATCTCCTTTGATACTTATATAGGATAATTATTATGCGAAAAATTGTAATAAAAAGTTTAGTATTTCCTCGACAGAGTCAGACAGACTTCTTAAATTCGCGCTGCAAGTCTTAAATTTCTCAACTACGCAAACTATCGAAATCCTGTTTTTACGATATTATGTAGTGTCAAGAACATAGAATACTTTAATTAACAAGATTTGACATTGAGTAGAAACATTAAAATCAAATAGAAGTCAACTTTATCTTTGTAAATGGCAATCTAATTTTTTAAACACTTATGACTAAAACCTGGAGATTACTCAGAGTCATGACCTTGACAAAATAAAGATCAAAATCAAGATTATCGAGACACGTTCCCTCCACCGGTATATTTACCAAATCGATTTCTCCAAAAATTAATTTATTATTATTTATTCACCTTTAGGTAACTTTTGTTCGAAACATTTTCAGATAACTTTTGTTTAAAACATTTCTCATAAAAATCATTTCCCTTCATTTTAAAACAAGTAAGTAAAGGATATGGTAGTACAATTTTAAAAGTGCACTAGGAAAAGTTTGATTGCATTAATTGAAATTCTAATTAAAAATGGATAAATTACAAAAATTTCTGGGTGAATCTATTCTAAATTAAAAAGTTCACAGGGCATAGAGCTAATCAAGAGAAATAAAAAAAGAAATTTTAATTGGCTCTCTATGCCCTGTGAACTTTTTAATTTATTTTATATAAAAGGAACCTTATTATCAGGGAATGGGAAGTTACTTTTTAAAAGTAACGAGTTACCATTACTAGTTATCGCTTTTTAAAAATAACTCGTTACAGTTACCATTAATCAAAAGATAATATTTCGTTATTTTTCCGTTACTTTTTAAAAATCAGTCTAAAAGTACTTTTGCAGTATTTTTTGTTTAAACATTGATAAAAGCAATATATATATAACATGTATACACTGAGACAGTATGTATAGTTTTATTTTTTAATTTTTTTTTAAACACAATTTCGTAATTCTAAAACCTGTAAAATATGCAGCAAATTGAGATATACATATGTCCGACGTATCACATATAGAAGATAGAAGTGCAAAATAATTCCTGAAATAATGGTACTGTATATATTTCTCAGCTGTCAAAGATCACTTCAGGATCACTCTGCAGCAGTTGACAGCTAAAATATTTCAGGAATTTTTGTATACTTTGTAGAAAACTAGAAGCTTATATAGGATTGTATAGGACTATCTGAATCACAATATAAGTTAGAAATTCAAAGAAAAATTAAGAAATACACATAATCTCTTTATTATAATACTGCTATATTTTTACTTAATCTATACTTTTAGCTGTAAATCTATTATTTTGATAGAAAGAAAATTATAACGCTATAATTAAAATATATAACAGAAATTTTGCAAAAAGGGGTGTTTCCCATATTGCTCAACATAAATGTACACAGAAATGTACAGAGTAAAGCTTTGTACACAGCTCAATTAGAACAAAATATATACGATGTTTAGATTAAGTTAAACTAAATGTAGCTTTTACGCTTGTATTAAATAAAAACACTCAAGGCCGATTGTTCCATCTTTCGGTAAAATTTACCTGTTAGATAAATCTGGCAATTCGCGCACATGATTGGGTAATCTTGCTATTTACCTAACAGGTAAACTTTACCAAAAGATGGAACAATCGGTCCTACAACCACATTATAACTGTCGTAATTAATAATATGTAATTATTATATAACGGAATAACGTGTCCAATCGTATGCAAAGTAACTGTAAATTTTGTTACCGTTATTTAAAAAAATGGAACTACGTTACCGTCACGGTTACCAAAAAAAGAAAGTAACGCAGTTACCAGTAAAGTTACCAAAAAAGCAATTTGTAACTGAAAATTCGTTACAAGTAACGAGTTACTTCCATTCCCTGCTTATTATTATAATTACTATTATAATTCTGAGATAACCATAATTCTAATTAATATGATCAGAATCTTCCGGTTTATTTTCAATCACTTTTTTAACCATTTTTCTCAGCGTCGTATATAATTTTGAACAAAACAGGATTTGAATTTAACTTTCGATGTTCAAGTTTAATTTTTTCCTTTTTGGTTCCATTCAATGCCCTCCACATAATAAGGAGATTACCAAATTTAAACTTCGAAAATTAGTTTCAAATTTTTGAAATTTTAACATGTTTGAAATTATGTCACTGTACGCTACGGATGATAATTTCCTTATATTAATTGCTTACACAAGATGGTTTGAATGTTTTAATATCAGCATATTAAACGTGCATGAAATACACATGTGGATCAAACGGAGCAAGTTCAGAATATATACAACTGCTTCTACGTGCAACAGGTTCAGGAACCAGTCAGCGAACACCGTGTTTTAACGGTACATCAAGTATGAGAAATTAGAAACTTGAAAATAAATACATAACGCATTCTATTGAAAATTATCTCGTTTGTTAACGGAATCGCGTTAATTCGAGAGACCGAGAAATCAATTAAGAAACCACACACACACACATCTAGTGAAAATATTAGCAAGTAAATGTTGAAAAAATTAGAGAAGTAAAATTATTAAATTTTTTTCAATATATATATGTTTAAAGTGTAAAATGCTTAATTTGATAAATTAACAGTAAAATTATCTAGTTAAAACTCGTAAAAATTTGCAATGTTCAGATATAGAATTATCTATTTTAACTTGTATCATCATATATTAATATATATATGATCATCTCTTATTTAATATACTATTATTAACCTATTATTTTCTATATAATAGTAGTATATAGTATATGTACTACAATACTATAATATTCAATATAATAAATAAATTTATAATATTTATTGATTCTTTTATTTTAAAAAAGAAAAACGTACATTTTATCACATCATGATACTTTACCTGCATATAAAAAGCTTCTCCTCTTGTGATAACAAAACTATTGGCTCGATCATCTGTTTGTAGAGCGAAGAGACTCGCTGCTACAATCGACAATGCCGCTAAAAAAAGATATTAAACAAATCGATTTATAAAATTTTCAATTTTCTATCTCACATTCAAATGACTATAAACTTGTATACAATATCGAATTTTATACAATTTCATATTTCAATGCAATATTATAACGCAATTTATTATACATATTATTATTAAATATAAAAAAAACGCGTACAAGAATTGTATATAAATAAGAAAGACTCAGATATTATAAATCTTATTATATATTTTTTAAACAGTATTAACTAAATATTTACTTAGTACCATTCAAATAATTATTTTTAAAAAATTAGTGTATTTTTTTAATATATGTTCTTAATTTACACGCAGAGTCATTACGAAATCATCACAATAAAAGAGATTACGCGATAGTTTATTGTAGCAATAGTATTGCTTTATTATGTATATATAAGATAATCTCCTATGAGACATTCTAGATCTTGAATAAAGGCTCGCACGTAGGTCAGTAATAGACAAGCGTCCGCAAGCGGTTATTCTAACATGTTGTATAATATGTTCGTATAAGTATTGCAAAAATATGCGACGCACCGACTGAAAAAAACTTTTCAATGTCTTTATTAATATGATTCGTATCCGAACCATGAATTCCAAATCGGACCTCTCCTATTTTTATAAACTTTTAGATAGAATTTTAAAATATTTTAATTAATTTTTGTTAGTATTGAGTAAAAACGAGCAATGTAAGACTCAAAAATAAAAATACAGTTTATATTATTAGAATTAAAATCAATAAAAAATTCCATCTGAGTCTGATGACAAATGATATTTTATTTAGTGTCCCTTAGACCAGATCTGGTCGGTCACCAGTACTACCAGATTGTGGCGAATCTTTTTTCTTCGATAAATTAGCTGGCTTATACTCGTCTTTTTAGTATTTTTTGTATAGGTCCGATTTAGACACGGGTTCTTTCGAACGATTGGAACAAATTTTACAATAAACCGCAAAAGTAATCACAAAACTCTTGATATTTTTTAATTCGACACTCTTTAATTATCTTAAATCAATTACCGTTCAAATTTTTAACATCTTTTAAATAATGATTAACAAGGATTTTCTTTTTTAAAAAAAATTTCGCATGATAGTCAAAAATACATATTTGCGTCTATTCTATGAACGTTTTGTAACAGAATACTGCCAAACTGCTGTCACGTGTTCGGTGTCTTATAAGAACTTTACATTATAAATAGCACGCAAATCTGCTTAACCGTATTTATTTAAATTAAAAAGGTCCGATTTGGAACATGGTTCGATTTAGGACATTCTCCCCTATATTACTCAATAAACACACAATAAGATGTAAACACGTAATTTCAGTATTAGAGATGAATATACACTGATGTACAGAGATGATTATACTTTAAAATTACGATAAAATAATTTAAAAAATACGATAAAGTAATATTAAAAAATAATAGATATTCCCCCTATATTTAAAAATAGTAAAAGAAAAAGTTTTGACTAGTCGAAATCGGCACTGTAAACAGTGCAAACATTTCAGTAAATTCTTCAGTCTTTATTTACAACTATATTAAAACATAATTTGTACTCACTTGCCAATGTAGCAAGGGCAACTTTGCCTATTAAGGCAGTACTGTACGAAATTACAACCCGCTTCGCAGAAGAGGCCATCGCTAATTGAAGCACAGCCAAAGCGACCAGAATTCCCAAAAGGGCAGAAGCGGCAGCAGCAGCTAATCCCGCCACCCACACAGCCACTGGAAATAAAGGAAAAATCTCATCGTAATTCTAGTACATTGCAATATAATCCTGTCTCGCATTGAGCTTTCTAGCCATAGAAGTTTTGGCGCTACATAATCACACGTACAACTCACCCATTTTTTACGTGCTACAATTTCCATAATAATGCAACGAAGAAATGATAAAAGAATAGAATAAAAAGAATAATTTGTCATAAGATGTGTTCATTAACGTTAACAATTACTCACACAATATATAAATTTTTCATAAATATTGTTAAAAAATTATTATAAATAACGCTATTAAATTGATCACAAATGTAGAGCGTAAATAATATACAATATTATATTAGTCGCTATACAATATTTTAAACTGTTTTACATTAAAATTATAAATTTTGATTCAATATGCATTTAACTTTTAATTTAAAAACTTTTAATTAATTGTTCTCAAACTATAATATAATATAAGACAGCTAATTACGGTTAAAGTTGAATGTGTTTCAAGTATTACATTATTATGTATTTACTAAATAAATTTATTTCAAACAAAATTGCGATAACTTTTGGACTTTCAACACAATCAATCTAAAACATCAATAATCTTCTCCAAATTAAATTAAATGAAAAAAACATATAAAGAACTTATTGCGAAAAAAAACTACCTCAGCCAGGAGTCGAATCTCGGACTTTCCTAGATGGGTATCTTAACCATCTCGACACTGAAATATTCCTCGTAATAACCGATATGCATAGAGAGAATGCTTTATAAACAGCAGAGAAAACGTATTACGGCAATTCTATTACATCAAAATCAGAATTAAGCTACAAAGATTTTGTACAAGAAAAATGAATCGTTCTGGCGAAGAATGGCATTATAAAAATGTCGGTATCTTTTATAGTTATACATAAAATAAAACTTACACACTGGTTGGAACCTGGAGACGCTTTGGCCGCACCACTCACGTCCATAAAGAAGGAGTTTACATTGTCTCCATGGTCCGAAGTAACCCTTCTCCGCGGCAGTACCAGCTGTAACAATATAAATAGAAAAAATTAAATAAAACATTTTTTTGCCAAAAACGCGGTAAAAAAATAGTACAAATCATTTGCAATTTTACTAAAACAAGCTAACAATTAATAAAATTGTATGACCTTTCTCGAGTTCAATTTTAGAATATATAATTTAGTACGTCAATTTGATTTAATAATATGTAAATTATACAGGAATTAGTTTGTTGAATTAACATATAGGTAATCATTCTACATGAAAATGGAAAAAAATATAAAAAGCAAACTATAAAAAAAAATAATAATAAATAATAATACATATACATTTACTAACAAAAGTTAAAAAGCAAAGTATTTTCTTAAGAACAACATTTCTTTATTTACTGAGGTTACAAATAAAAGAAATATAAAACAAAATATTATTATATAATATTTTTTACGTTGGATAATCGTAAATATTCTTTTAAAAATACTTTTATAAATGCTAAAATCAAAATGAAGAAAACAAACGAATACCATTAAAAGACAGTTTTAGCAAGCTACAGAAGAACAATTACAATTATTAATAAAAATTACAATTATTTTTAAACAAATCAATTAACTCATTCCTTATTTTAATTTTTAACACAGAAATATAAACTAAAAAAAAAATTCCATTAACGATTAAATTTATATACAATAATAAATAAAACGTTTATAAAATAAGTCAATTGTAGTGTTTGAATGAATGTTTCTCAGTTTTCTCTTTGCGTGCGAGTTTCATGGCAATAAGGAATCGACTGGCACAGTGGTACCAGTGCTCAATGTTTGTCTTTTGCAACGTATATAACATTACTGCATTGTATACACAGGCTAACCTTACTTGCCATCGGCGCAAGACAACATGCGATTGAGTCGAGCTGACAGCGCGAGCCGCGTTATTATTCCTCAAAACGCGATAAGTACAAGACGTTAAAGGCGATTGTTTTGCATTAATGAATATTAAATTAACTCAAATAACGTATCGAACTGATACAGTTCTTTATCCATATACCAAGTACCATATTTTAAGTAAACGTGACAACTTAAAAAGTTTAAATGTATAACACTAAATGACATAAATTATAAACTATTACTTGCAACACGGATAATTTATAGATAATAACACTGTCCAACAAATTTAAATCTTTTTTCTAGACCTCGAGACCAAGTAATACTTATAAATTTTTGGTTTGCTAAAAATAATTCCGATATAAAACTAAAATATATAAATATAATGATAAACAATGTCAAACTATAACAAGAAAACCGACTAAAGACGAACTAATGAATTATTATAAGATATTATAAAATATATATTTATAATACCTTATATAATTCATTAGTTCGTTTTTGTTCGGTTTTCTTGTTATAGTATAAAAATATAATTATTATAATTAATATTATGGTAGTAGTAACTGTAAATGGAGCTCTTAACCATAATTATTTTACTACATAATTATAATCACGAATACAAAACATCTCTTTTATTATAGTATGTACACATCGTACCGATAAATCTAAAATTACTTTTTATTTCAACTTGAAATAAATTGTTTATGCTTTGGAGTATTTGAAAAGTACTTCGGATATTGCATCTCATCTCACGAAGGACGTGTTTTTGACGGTAATTTTCCAGTGATCGAAGTAGTTAGAGTTACGTTAGGATAGCGTGGACGTTCGTGGAAGCGACAACTTCAATAATTATTTGACGATACATCTAGCGACGCATTCAAAAGTTACTTAATGCACCTTGAAAGGCTCGCACGTTTTCAAGCGGAAAGGATATTAATGCGAATCGAAGCACTGTTGTGACAGCATTTGATTCCCCGCTACTAGAAGCACGTAAAGATTTCACACACAGTGTTGGGTTAAGAAATTTTTAACTCTTTTAAAAATTGTTTTGGCTGTACTATATAATAGTTGAAAGTATCAGCTAAAAAATCAGTAAGCTCTATAATATACTAGGACGCACCTTTTCTATACTAAACTAGAATACAATGGCTCAAGAAAAGGCAGACAAATACTTTCTAATTCTTTCCTACAAGTAGCTAATAATAATAATTAATAATAAGCATTAATAATAAGTGAGTTTGAGAAAGAGGACAGCATAATTTTTACATCAGAGTGTCATTATTTAAAAATTGAAGTACCGCTTCCTTGATGCTCAACGTGCTTGACTATATATTATAAAGCTTACCTACTATTTATCTTTACGTGTTATACATGGGTATGTTAAGTTAGCACCCCAACTATAGTACTCAGGAGTTCTGATTAGAGTTCCCACTTCCTTTTGACGAGACGAAGAGTTCCCTATAGTTAATAACAAGAGTTCCACTCAATAAACATTTTTTTTACATTTTTAAAAAATGGGTTGCTAACTTTTTATCGAATTTCGAGGTGGAATAGTTCTGAGCGGCTTAATAGCTTCAATTTGTGATTGCCTAGAGTTCCTGATATGTAAAAAAAATTTTCGAATATTAAAAAAAAAAATTAAAAATTTTTGAAAAATTAATTTTTAGATACAATAGTTCTGATGATAATTCCTGCTTCTTTTTGACGATACGAAGAGTTCTCTATGATTTTTAAGTACATATGCGCTTAATAATCATTTTTTAATAATTTTTTAAAAATGGGGTGCTAACTTTTTAACAAAATTCAAGATCGTATAGTTCTGATCAACTTAACAGAACTATTTTGTGAATACCTAGAGTTCTTGATACATAAAAAACATTTTTGAAGAATAATAAAGTTTAAAAAATATAGTACAAACCTTTGACAATTTTTTTGAAAGTACCGAGTAGTTCTGAGTAGCGTTTCTTATAGTATTCGACGAGTTCTATCGAAAACTGTAAGGTGAAAAAGCGATTGGACCAATGGTTTCCGAGATATACTCATTCTAAGAATTGTTGATCTTCTGACAAATGTCGCTGTATCTTGCAAATCGTTGATCCAATCGCTTTTTCACCTTACAGTTTTCGATAGAACTCGTCGAATACTATAAGAAACGCTACTCAGAACTACTCGGTACTCTCAAAAAAATTGTCAAAGGTTTGTACTATATTTTTTAAACTTTATTATTCTTCAAAAATGTTTTTTATGTATCAAAAAGTCTAGGTATTCACAAAATAGTTCTGTTAAGTTGATCAGAACTATGCGATCTTGAATTTTGTTAAAAAGTTAGCACCCCATTTTTAAAAAATTATTAAAAAATGATTATTAAGCGCATATGTACTTAAAAATCATAGAGAACTCTTCGTATCGTCAAAAAGAAGCAGGAATTATCATCAGAACTATTGTATCTAAAAATTAATTTTTCAAAAATTTTTAATTTCTTTTTTAATATTCGAAAATTTCTTTTTAAATATCAGGAACTCTAGGCAATCGCAAATTGAAGCTATTAAGCCGCTCAGAACTATTCCACCTCGAAATTCGATAAAAAGTTAGCACCCCATTTTTAAAAAATGTAAAAAAATGTTTATTGAGCGGAACTCTTGTTATTAACTATAGGGAACTCTTCGTCTCGTCAAAAGGAAGTGGGAACTCTAATCAGAACTCCTGAGTACTATAGTTGGGGTGCTAACTTAACATACCCGTTATACATGTAGATAATTAACAAAACAAAAATGCTATGCACACTTTAGTCATCCACAAAGTTTTATAATTTTGCGTCTTTAGTCTGTCAATTCAAACATCTCATTAATTATCAGAAGACATGGTAAAGTCTCTGCACTAAGACAAGTACAGTGCAGCGACATATTTCTAATGGCCAGCTATGTAGCTAATTATCACGAAAAATCTAATAACTATTCGTAACACTTATAATTGGCACGTACATTCTATTTATTTTACAATATATTTATTAGCGTTACAATTTTTTTTAAATACATATGATACCTATTCTTATGATTGTCCTTATTTGCATTTCATAATGATTTTTCCTTTTTATTCATTTCCAGGTAATAAAGTGTATTATATAATACACTCGCTAGAATGCCTGATAGCTTGTACATACACATAAACGTAGTACACACACACACACACACACACACACACACACACACACACACACACACACAC